TTTTTTAATGAATAAATAAATGAAGAAATAAAAGAATGAATAAAGAAAGAAAGAAAGAAAGAAAAAAAAAGAGAGAAAACCAAATAAATCACTATTCAAAACAAAGTAATAAAAATCTGTCGTACGAACAATGTATTCGGACAAACGCTGTCAAACTGCCATTGCAGACTAATTTCCCGTATAGCTTTTTTTCCAGCGTCAACACAGACAGCTACTTAATCAAACTGGGCCATTAATTTTTGGCATCCAACTGGGATAGGATTCAAACGAAGCCAATTGTAGCAATAGTGCAAAAATAGAGCTCATAAAAAACAAGTTCCCAAAGCATCTGTTAGAGATTCAAAATGTAATACGCCGACACTATCAGTTAACATAACGTTAACATAGAATGTCCATGAAGTAGAAACTTAACATATCATAGAAGAGTATTTTTTGTTGTCTTCGTTGCACACATTACAAATTCAAAAAATTCATTTCGAAGGAGGGAAGGGCACCGGACTGAGTGAAAAAAAAATTCACAAAGGAAATAATTACTTTTGTTTCTCTCTCAGGTGCAGACCACGAATTTCCTAGTTCCGAAATATGTTCGTGGCGACAATTTAACAGTGGCCAGTCTTGTTTTTGGTGTTAATGACCGGATACTACATAACAGTTTCTGTTGTTCATTGTCTTCACTAAATGTACGCAACGTTGGTCATTATACCCAGTGTCCGAGCAGCTTTATTGTTCAATAGCTCGTCTTGACTTTATACAAACTGTTCTGTTTTTTCTTAAAGATTGGTCGCCTGCTGACCCTCTTAACTATAAATAATATTTGCCAGCTTGAACAAATAAACACACATACATACAAACAAACAAACAAATTAATAAACAAACAGACAAAGAGAAAGTGCTCAAAAGCGCAATAAACGTGTCGAGAAGTTAAATAATATGTAGCCTAACTTACTGTTTATTCTAGAATTTTCTTCGTTTGTATTTCATATGGCCTGGGGAAGAATAATTGAAATATTCAAGAAAGTAAAAATAAAAACCCAGTCACTAACGCCAGCCAAGACCATAGCTTGTTATCTGTCGTAAGTATCGTGAAAGTGAAAGCCGCCCCGTTTTCATATTGACGAACCTACGATTTCGGAGATAAAATATTATGATGTTCAATCACTATAGAACTGGTAAACATGGCAGAGATGTCTTTGTAACTCTACGAGCGCAGTGAAAGGGAAAGTGCTATCTCTGAATTTAAAAAAACATAGAAATAATATCACTACGTCCTTTTTTTTTTACGTGGTATCATTAATTTTCAGGTCAAAGATTGTCCCCCCCCCCTTCCCTCCAGGACACGGCTGTGCTAGATCTTTTACATTTGCTATCGAATAAAAACCAAACATTTAATTTACACAAAAAGGATAACATAATATACCAGTTTTCAAAGCAAAGCTAAGAATGGGCATAGACGAATATCGAAACACTGCTCTTGAAGACTGATTTCTTGGGGTTCACCTATTTTTCCCCGTTGGCATCATTCCTGTAGTGTCCAGGAAGGCGGCCTCCTATACACCCAGCCAGGGAAAACAATGCAAGTACATGTAAAGCTTGAATTAATTATTGACAACACTCTGAACATTAGACAAAAACCCAGGGACACTGGACGAGGCGAGGATAACATAAAACAATTAGTTTGGAATGTCAGGACAGGTTCTTTCATGTTCTTCCATGAAGCTTTGAAAGAAGGAGAGAGAGAGAGAGAGAGAGAGAGAGAGAGAGAGAGAGAGAGAGAGAGAGAGAGAGAGAGAGAGAGAAAGAGAGAGATGGAGAGAGAGAGAAAGAGAGATAGAGGGGGGGGGGAGGGAGAGAGATAGAGAGAGAGATAGAGAGAGAGAGACTAAGAGATAGAGAGACAGAGAAACAGACAGACAAAGAGAGAGAGACAGAGAGAAACAGAGAAACAGAGACAGACAAACATACAGACAGACAGAACTACAAACAGACAGACAGATAGACAGACAGACAGACAGAATATACACATACAGACAGACAGATAGATAGACAGACAGACAGACAGACAGACAGACAGACAGACAGACAGACAGACAGACACACACACAGACAGACAGACAGACAGACAGACAGGCAGACAGACAGACAGACAGAACTGTTCAATGCAATTCTTCACCAACACAGTAGGTCTACAGTAGAAAAGAAGAAAAAACGAACAAAAACAAACTACAAGACAACTGTTATTACTAAACAGTATCACAGCACAGAAGAAAACATCAAAATATAATATAGATATTTAATCTAAGTAAAAGCAGGGAAAGAATGACATACATGCGACATACCTATGTGACTACCAGGGTGATCTACCCCCCCCCCCCAACCAACCTAAAGAAAATTCTTTGAACATTATTAGTTGTACAAAACGTCGTCTTTATTTTTATTATCTCCAACATGTCGTAATAACTACATTATCTAATTGCTAAAGGGTACACGGAAACAACATATTATATGTACAAATTATATACAGAGTGAAACTATTTTTTTAAAAGCCAGATGGACACAGCAGCACTTATATATAATGAGACAGTAAAATTTGCATTGCAGTACATACGGTATTGACAAAACAAAGTCACTGCTAAAAAGCAGATCAGAGTCAGATCATCCTTTGAAAACATGTTAAGTAGAACTAAACAAGTATTTCAACATACTGTAGACAAAAAAATCCGTCTTTATTTTTGCTTTATTTCGCTTTTTTGTTTATAATTTTTTCACCTCAAAAAAGAAAGAAGAAAAAAAAGAAAAAAGAAGCTGCATTCAAAAGCTGAAAAAAAGCCAGCATTTTAATGTTTGATTAACTGCTTTTTTAATGAAATGATTGGGTGACTCTTGGTAATCCCAGAAGATGTATTCTGACTGCACGACCAACATGTAAGATCTGTTCTGCCGTAACTTACAAAAGCATCGATTCTGTTCTGGCCAATGTGGTATGCCCAGCCATTAAGGCGCTTGCCGGTGAATAAATCAACCCGTGATTAATTTATTATTAGCTTTCTGCTCCCAAAACCTTCGTCTGCGTTACGTATACAGCTTTGTGTGCTCAGCAGACTTTTTTCATATAAAGTGGGGATAGGAAACAAGAAAAGGCCACGCCACTAACTTATCTCACCAAAATTTCTTGGCAGTTGATTCCTCGGACTTCCTCATTTCCCTGTCGCACGTTGATTGTCGCTAGATACTCTGACGGTGTTCGTTTCTCCTTTTGCCGTATACATAACCGGGAGTCTATCAGTATCAGAGGAGGATTCTGAATAAGACCAGGAACGGCATAGGTTGGACACAAGAGAGCTCTTTACATAATATGTTCTTTGAGTTTACGTGCCGTTTCTTAGGAAGCCATACTTGTCTTGAGAAAGGGACATTTTACATATATATTACTACTACTGCTAAGCTCAGATACTCGTAACCATTCGACTTTCCATAGCAAATCCAAGATGATCACCTTCCTCCTCGCTGTAGTTAGACCTACGACTTCTGCTGCTGTTGTTAGAGTCGAGACTGCCAACGTTTTCGTAAGATTGATGTCTACCATCGATGGAGTGTCTGCTTCTTCGTGAGGACCCTCTGCCGCCTCCATCTTCGTCTTTCTCCGACGTGTTGTTGTTAGGCGTGAGGTCAAGAGTTGGTGGACGGTAAGAGTCGGGATCAGTGTTGTTAGGTAAATCTCCATTGCTTCTGTATTTGCCGTTTACGCCTCGAAGCTCATTCTCTTCTCTTTCTTTGGCATCATCGTATCTCTCCTTGTAGTTTTCATAAAACACGAAGGCGGTCATACAGATAAGGATAATATTTTTCAAACAGAACGGGGAGATCCCTACACTAAAACCGTGCCACAAAATCATTCTCACCAACAGATTAGGTACGTTCACTATCAGTACCAATAGCAATCGGTGCAGATAGACCATTTTCTTACTCAGTTTCTTCATCCCATATTTTGTTTTAGCCAGAGTAAACAAAGGCAAGGACGGAATCAAAAGGTTAAGGGTGGCGACGGCTAAAATAAATTCTTCCAAACCGTCGGACAACGTGGCTCGTTTGTCTTTGTCAAAGAGGACTTCGAGAACATCCACTGTGTCTAGGATGTCAAAGACGACAGTGCCGGTGAGCTCCTCGATGTACTGCCTTCTCTCAGTCCCCAATGGAGCGTCGTGTTGGGTCATGAGGAAACACAAGAACACACAGCCGCTGAGACCGATGGTCGTCTTCAGAGCGTTCGGACCCATGAATCCGGGATCATCTTCTTCGATTCTCGTGACTTTCTTGAGGATGATAATGGTCTTCGCAGCCAGAGACATGCTCATCAGAATCCAGGCTATGCACGATATGCCGTTAGCCCCGGTGACCTCCTGTTTCTCGGGAGCCTTCAAGACGCTGTAGGCGACGATGATGCAGATGATGAGGAGAGCGGCGTTCACAAAGTCTGCGGCGATCCATACGTAGTGGGCGGTGCCGAGATTCTGCACCAAAAAGAAGTTCATACTCGCGGCCTGAAGAAAGAAAATAAGTATTCTGACTTTGAAATAAGTTGCTAAAAGCTATAGACCATTTTGGGATACATATGAACATGCTGGACAACCTGAACGTAATACTGATATATTACCAAAGTGTTTTTGACATGCTTTTCTCCCCCTTTTTATTACATTTTGCTCCTGACATTCAAAAAGGGTATGTGCTTTTCAAAGCTCTCGCTTTATGCACTGGCGCTCGGGTAGTTGAAAATGTCCCATACACTTACTAATACTGAGAACCATCTTAGGCTGTGTGGGATACTTCCCAGCAGAAAGGCAGAGCTACTCAGTCACATTTTGCCCCAGTCTACACCGTGTACCCATGAGAATTGTTATTGACAAAACAATAATATTGTTTTCTCTCAGCTGAGATGTCAAAATAGCATGACTGTTACTGAACTACTGTCTTTAGAACAAACGATAGATCTGTACCTAATAGACAAAGTACAATACCATTTTTAGAAATAACAAACGCCCTTTCTTTGCCCCCGTGCGCAGTTCTTTTTTGAAGCTCACCCCGGCCACCAAACAAGATGAAATAGGGAAACCTGATCAGCAATCTTGTATCTACAATAAATGCACGCTGTGATTAAGTCATGATTGTCTGAGAAGTTTGAGAATTTTGCTTCTAGTCTGTTGAGAGATGCACTGAAGTGATCGATTGCTTACAGCTGTGCTTTGCATAATGTAGAACTGGGGGGGGGGGGGGGGGCTTTGTGGCATCCATGCATTTGTTTGAAATACGATCTGAATTTCCACAAATTCTATATTATTATAAGAAGTATCTGTCTACTGATTCAATGCAACAGCAGAGATGGAAAGAGTTGTCATCTAGATTTTAAAAAACACACTTTCTTTTCTTTCTACTATTTGTCGCGATCGATAGACCTTTCCCAACGCTGGCAGAAACGAAGATGTCTTATTCGCTATGCTAACTGATTCTGCACCACAGTATAATCTCACATATTCATTATTCTTACAGTATTCTACAGGTTAAAGAAGGTATAGGCATACTTAACGATCTCCCTCAACAAAAACTGTTATGAATAGGTCTGTACAAGCGGGATTGTAAAGTATCACTGCAAAGATTGATTTGGCCAAATGCAGCTTTGTGGCTATACCTATTGCCGTGGATGGCAGGAAAGAGCGTATTTGAAGCATTTAAACACGATTGCTCATGAGGGAGGGTGTCCATTTTGCATCTATTAAACGCCAATTTTAGATTTCATATTCTGACGGTTGCCCTAATTGTTGCTCCGGTGTTCGAAAGTGGCTCTCCAGTGAAAAAGTTGCTCATCCCAGCCGTATAATGCGACAGAACTGTGGACATACCTGTATGATAAACAGCACTACGCAGAGAACAGCTGCTGGTGCGCCCTGGATCTTTTCACAGCAGCCCACAAGGCGGAAGCACATGCCCGTCATGACGAGGAAATGGAAGAACCGGCCAGGGACAGCTAGTGGTAACGTAATCTGGTGATACTTGTCGTTGATAATCCAAACTTGATTGGGGTATAGATTTGGCGAATGATTGGACAGATGTAGCGATGTAGCTGTCTTGGGAAGCAGTAACTTTGAAGTTATCAACAAAAGGTATTGTCGGGGAAAAGAGTACCTGAGTAGAACCTGAGAGTGTAACACTAACTGTTGAGAGCAGCTCCACTCGGAAAACAACAATTTATCTACTGTACTAGGAAATGTTGAGATAAAGATGTATTCGGACTTTGGAAATAGTTCGACTGAAACTGCGAATGGTCAGGAAGAACACACAGATGGGGAAGTCAGCTTCCATGAAGTAGATCAGTTCTTGGCGTTGGTGCTGAATCCACTGCAGCTACTGTGTGAATAGGATACGACTAGCAGGTCAATTTTAGAGATCGGTGACAGGTAGACTGCTGGATGCTGTGACATATCCTTGAATCGAGGAGCCTCAATTTATACGTACTGTTGTGATTTCAACACTTTCTTCTCAGCTCAAAAACTTTAAAATTTTCGAAGATAACTCTCAGAACGCAGAGGCACCGCTTTTGTAAATGTAACAGTCGTGTGCAGAGTGGTCGCAATATGCTTTACAACACAACCTTGCCAGTTGCCGAAGCTAGTTCAAAAACCAAAAAGATTCTTTTTTTAAAACCAAACAATGAGTTGTCTCGATTTGTTCAGTGAATTAATCTGAGGTCAAAACCGAATTGTGAGGATATGTGAGTTCGATAACTCAAGATGCCTTTGGCAGGAACCCAATTGTCCGACTTATTACTGCACATTGCATCATCACGGGAAAGTCCCCATTCGTCTCCGTGTCCTCTTGTGGCACCTAACTGTAGTCATCAAAGGACTTATCTCATCGTTTCTCACGCCTCTTTCTTTCTGTGAAACTGAAATGCAGAGAGAAATACGTACAGAGCTGAGTGGGTTATAAAAAATAATTAATTATGCCTACGACAAGAGCCTGAAACAGCTGGGCCGAATTCTTCACTGCTAATGTGACAAACTGTTGTGAAACATTGTTCAGGAGAGCACATTGTGGTTTTTTTTCGGGGTGTGCAATAGCCAACAGCTGGCCCCTAATTGTTTTTGAGTGTTTATAGCGGTAAGACCAAAAGTAAAAAGATGTCTGTCTTTCCTTTCTTTTTCTGTCACCAGAATTTGGCAATTTCTATTCGAGATCTAATTTTCGTATTTTCCACGGTGGTAAGATTACAAGGAAGATGTACCTCATCGAAGATGAGAAGAGCAGCATGATGCAAAGAGATATTGAGGGATAAACAAGACAGAGAGAGAGAAAGAGAGAGAGAGAGAGAGAGAGAGAGAGAGAGAG